CGACTCTGAAACAAACAAACAAATCCCGTTTCGACTGTCCTTTAATTGGAGAAAACTCCCTACTCACCCTCGCGGGCGCAGAAAAAGGAGGTGCGACATAAGCGATGCACTCTTTTTCCCTTACTAAGGGTTTTTCCCATGGGGTTTTCCTTATAAGGTTTTTAATGAGGCACCTAACAATGCGTATTACTGAATATGTGTACTCTTTTTCCTTTACTAGAATTTTTTTCCCACGTGGTTTTTCCTAGTGAGGTTTTAATGAGACACATTATTTTTTAATGAACATCCAAGGGGGAGTGTTATAAATATATTATATTATAGATGTTCATTTAGTACTCCGTTATAAATAATCTTCCTGGAGAAGATTATCCATATCTGGTATAGTAGCAACTTACACAGCAGCTTGCAGTAGCAGCTTACACAGCAGCTTGCGCAGCAGCTTACACAGCAGCTTGCGTAGCAGCTTACACAACAGCTTCCTTTCTTCTATAAATAGAAGAGATTTCAGTTCATTATGTACATCAGTTTGAATTCGAATAATATATCAGTTTCTCTCTATACTTGTCTTTATTTTACAGTCTTTATTTTATAACACGGAGAACTTTATGATAGACGTTTTACTTTTCTTATTTTTTTCATAGTATTAATTTATTTACTTATGCCCTTTCTAATATAGGAGTACTTTACTGTTATAAAATTTCATTAGAATAAAACCCTAATGGCTTACACTTCGTGGTCATCTCACATAGGCTGACTGCTTTCATTGCCACAAAATTTAAGAAAAATGTGGGTCCATCCCATAAATCAAAGGAAGAAAATTTCTTCCTTGATTAGCAGCCGACATTTCTTTTTTTGTTTGTGTCAAAATCGGCAGGCTTGCAGAAGGAAATGTCAAATGTAGTAGGTGAGGCTCTGCCTATAAAAGGAGAGTTTCGGCTCTCATTTTGGCACACCAATCTCAGAGAAAAAATATATATGAGAGTTAGAAAGAAAGAGTGAGGTTTCACAGACAGGGTATAAGAAAATAGTCTGTGACAAAAATAGAGAGTGAGTGATATTGTAGTGAGGTGGAATATCAAAAGAAGGTTATTTCTTTTGAGTGTTGTAATGGTCTTTTGAGTATTTTACTCGGACCTACAAAGTATAAAATTCCTTGCTATAGTGATATCAGTTGCTCTCCTCAGGGCCGTGGTTTTTTCCCTTATTCAAAAGAGTTTTCCACGTAAAATCTTGGTGTCGTTGTTACTCTTTTATTCTTGTTAATTACCGTATCTTGATGCTACGTTATTATTCCGCTTTTATTACCGTGAATATTATTTTTGTAGGGGGTTTATTCTCAACAATTGGTATCAGAGCATAGGTTTTGCTTGTTCACTGAAATACTATTCACTGTCGGTAGTACTATACTCAGTGAAAAATAAAAATGTCCGGAGTAAAGTATGAGGTAGCAAAATTCAACGGAGATAACGGTTTCTCAACATGACAAAGAAGGATGAGGGATCTACTCATCAAACAAGGATTACACAAGGTACTAGATGCTAATGCCAAAAAGTCTGATACCATGAAAGCTGAGGATTGAGCTGACTTGGATGAAAGAGCTGCTAGTGCAATCAAGTTGCACTTATCAGATGATGTGGTAAATAACATCATTGATGAAGACACTGCACATGCAATTTGGACAAGGTTGGAAAGCCTATACATTTCCAAAACGTTGACAAATAAATTGTACCTGAAGAAGCAGTTATACACCTTACACATGGGTGAAGGTACAAATTTTTTGTCAAATTTAAATGTGTTTAACGGACTAATCACACAGCTTGCCAACCTCGGAGTGAAAAACGAGGAAGAAGATAAAGCCATTTTGCTATTGAACTCGTTGCTATCTTCGTACGATAATTTGGCAACAACCATCCTGCACGGTAAGACTACTATTGAGTTGAAAGATGTCACATCGGCTCTTCTACTCAATGAGAAGATGAGAAAGAAGCCTGAAAATCAAGGGCAAACTCTCATCACAGAAGGTAGAGGCAGGAGTTATCAAAAGAGTTCGAGCAACTATGGTAGATCCAGAGCTCGTGGGAAGTCAAAGAACCGATCCAAATCAAGAGCCAGAAATTGCTACAACTGTGATGAACCAGGTCACTTCAATAGAGATTGCCCAAATCCAAGGAAGGGCAAAGGTGAAACTAGTGTCCAAAAGAATGACGACAGCACAGCCGCCATGGTGCAAAACAATGATAATGTTGTCCTCTTTATAAATGAGGAAGAGGAATGCATGCACCAGTCAGGTCCAGAGTCGGAATGAGTGGTTGACACAACGACATCTTACCATGCCACACCGATAAGAGATCTTTTTTGCAGATATATAACAGGTGATTTCGGCACAGTGAGAATGGGTAACACAAGTTACTCAAAGATTGCAGGGATTGGTGACATTTGTATCAAGACAAATGTCGGATGCACATTAGTTCTAAAGGATGTGCGGCATGTACTTGATTTGCGGATGAACTTGATCTTGGGAATTGCTTTAGACCGAGATGGATACGAGAACTATTTTGCAAATAAAAAGTGGAGACTCACTAAGGGATCATTGGTGATTGCAAAGGGAGTTGCTCGTGGCACGTTGTACAGGAAAAATGCAGAAATATGCCAAGGTGAATTGAATGGGGCACAAGATGATATTTCTACAGATTTGTGGCACAAAAGAATGGGTCATATGAGCGAAAAAGAGTTGCAGATTCTTGCCAAGAAATCATTCATTTCTTATGCTAAAGGTACAACGGTAAAACCTTGTGACTACTGTTTATTTGGTAAGCAACATTGAGTCTCATTTCAGACATCGTCTGAAAGAAAATTGAATATACTTGATTTAGTATATTCTGATGTTTGTGGCCCAATGAAAATTGAATCAATGGGTGGTAACAAATATTTTGTTACTTTTATTGATAATGCTTCACGAAAATTATGGGTTTATATTTTGAAAACCAAAGATCAGATGTTTCAAGTTTTCCAAAAGTTTCATGCTCTAGTAGAAAGGGAGACGAGTCGAAAGCTAAATCGTCTCTGAAGTGACAATGGAGGTGAGTACACTTCAAGGGAACTTGAAGAGTACTGTTCAAGTCATGGGATCAGACATAAAAAGAGAGTTCCTGGAACCATACAACACAATAGCATAGTCGAGAGAATGAACTGCACCATTGTGGAGAAAGTGAGAAGCATGCTCAGAATGGCTAAACTGCCTAAGTCATTCTGGGGTGAAGCAGTTCAGACGGCCTGTTACCTAATCAATAGGAGTCCATCAGTTCCGTTGGCGTTTGACATCCCAGAGAGAGTTTGGACAAACAAGGAGGTATCCTACTCGCATTTGAAGGTGTTCAGTTGCAGAGCTTTTGCACATGTACCAAAAGAGTAGAGAACAAAGTTGGATGATAAATCTGTTCCCTGCATATTTATCATATATGGAGATGAAGAATTCAGGTACAGATTATAGGATCGTGTAAAGAAGAAGGTCATCAGAAGCAGAGATGTAGTCTTTCGAGAAAGTGAAGTTGGAAATGCTGCTGATATGTCAGAAAAGGTGAAGAATGGTACCTAACCTTGTTTCTATTCCTTCTACTTCTAAAAATCCCACAAGTGCAGAAAATACGACCGACGGGGTTGTCGAGCAGGGGGAGCAACCTGGTGAGGTTATTGAGCAGGAGGAGCAACTTGATGAAGGTATCAAGGAAATGGAGCACCCTATTCAGGAAAAAGAACAACCTCAACCTCTGAGGAGATCAGAGAGGCCAAGGGTAGAGTCATGCAGGTACCCTTCCACAGAGTGTGTCCTCATTAGTGATGAAGGGGAGCCAGAAAGTCTTAAGGAGGTGTTGTCCCATCCAGAAAAGAACTAGTGGATGAAAGTCATGCAAGAAGAGATGGAATCTCTACAAAAAAAATGGTACATACAAGCTGGTTGAACTTCCAAAGGGTAAAAGACCACTTAAATGTAAATGGGTCTTTAAACTCAAGAAAGATGGAAATGACAAGCTGATCAGATACAAGGCTCGATTGGTGGTTTAAGGCTTCGAACAGAAGAAAGGTATTGATTTTAACGAAATTTTCTCACATGTTGTCAAAATGACTTCTATTCGAACAATTTTGAGCTTAGCAACTAGCCTAGATCTTGAAGTGGAGCAGTTGGATGTGAAAATTGCATTTTTTCATGGAGATTTGGAAGAGGAGATTTATATGGAGCCGCTAGAAGGATTTGAAGTAGCTGGAAAGAAACACATGTTGTGCAAATTGAATAAGAGTCTTTATGGATTGAAGCAGGCACCAAGGTAGTGGTACATGAAGTTTGACTCATCAAGTCAAACATACCTAAAGACCTATTCTGATCCATGTGTATACTTCAAAAGATTTTCTGAGAATAACTTTATTATATTGTTGTTGTATGTGGATGACATGTTAATTGTAGGAAAAGACAAGGGGCTGATCGCAAAACTGAAGAGAGATTTGTCCAACTCATTTGATATGAAGGACTTGGGCCCAGCACAACAAATTCTAGGGATGAAGATAGTTCGAGAGAGAACAAGTAGAAAGTTGTGGCTATTTCAGGAGAAGTATATTGAACGTGTACTAGAACGATTCAACATGAAGAATGCTAAGCCAATCAGCACACCTCTTGCTAGTCATCTAAAGTTGAGCAAAAAATGTGTCTTACAACAGAGGAGGAGAAAGGGAACATGACTAGAGTTCTTTATTCTTCAGCAGTCGGAAGCTTGATGTATGCAATGGTATGCACTAGACATGATATTGCTCACGGAGTTGGTGTTGTTAGCAGGTTTCTTGAAAATCCTGGAAAGGAACATTGGGAAGCAGTCAAGTGGATACTCAGGTACCTGAGAGGTACCACGGGAGATTGTTTGTGCTTTGGAGGATCTGATCCAATCTTGAAGGGCTATACAGATGCTGATATGGCAGGTGACATTGACAACAGNCACCACAGGAGATTTTCTGTGCTTTGGAGTATCGCATTCAATCTTGAAGGGCTATACAAATACTGATATGGCAGGTGACATTGATAATAGAAAATCTACTACTGGATTGTTGTTTACATTTTCAGGGGGAGCTATATCATGGCAGTCGAAGTTGTAGAAGTGTGTCACACTCTGTATAACTGAAGCAGAGTATATTGTCACTACTGAAGCTGGCAAAGAGATGGTATGGCTCAAACGGTTCCTTCAAGAGCTTGGATTGCATCAGAAGGAGTATGTCGTCTATTGTGACAGTCAAAGTGCAATAGACCTGAGCAAAAACACCATGTATCATGCAAGGACGAAGCATATCGACGTGAGGTATCATTGGATTTGAGAAAGGATAGAGGATGGGTCTATGTAGGTAAAGAAGATTCATACAAGTGAGAATCTTTCGGATATGCTGATCAAAGTGGTACCAAGAGACAGGTTTGAGCTATGCAAAGAACTTGTCGGCATACACTCAAACTAGAACCTCTGGTGTTACCTCCTTCAGGTGAATGAGACTGGAAGGGGAGGTTTGTGGGGTCCATCCCATAAATCAAGGAAGAAAATTTCTTCCTTGATTAGCAGCCCATGTTTTTTTTGTTGTTTGTGTCAAAATCGGCACGCTTGCAGAAGAAAATGTCAAATGTAGTAGGCGAGACTCTGCCTATAAAATGAAAGCTTCAGTTCTTATTTTGACACACCAATCTCAGAGGAAAAATATATCCGGGAGATAGAAAGAAAGAGTGAGGTTTCACAGACAGGGTATAAGAAAATAGTCTGTGAAAAAAATAGAGAGTGAGTGATATTGTAGTGAGGTGGGAATATCAAAAGAGAGTTATTTCTTTTGAGTGTTGTAGTGGTCTTTTGAGTATTTTACTCGGACCTACAAAGTATAAAATTCTTTGCTATAGTGATATCAGTTGCTCTCTTCAGGGCCGTGATTTTTCCCCTTATTCAAAAGGGTTTTCCACGTAAAAATCTTGGTGTCGTTGTAACTTTTTTTATTCTTGTTAATTACCGTATATCGGTGCTACGTTATTATTACAACAACAACCCAGTATAATCCCACTTAGTGGGGTCTGGGGAGGGTAGTGTGTACGCAGACCTTACCCCTACCGTGAGGTAGAGAGGCTGTTTCCAAATAGACCCCCGGCATCCTTCCCTCCAAGAACTTCCCACCTTGCTCTTTGGGGAGACTCGAACTCACAACCTCTTGGTTGGAAGTGGAGGTTGCTTACCATCAGAGCAACCCCTCTTGGTTGGAAGTGGAGGTTATTATTCCGCTTTTATTACCGTGAATATTATTTTTGTAGGGGGTTTATTCCCGACAAAAAATTCATCCAATAATCTTCTTGTGTTTACTTCTTAATATTTTGAATCCCGTTAATAAAAATAATTTCATCATCATCAATAATCTTAGGCCAGGGTAAGCTTCAAGTGCTTCATGTTTTTCTTTTTGTAATAATTTCTTTTCCTTTCGAATACCTTATTTATGTAGTGATTATGTTGATCATGCTGTTTCATTGCGGTATTTTGCCCCCTGTTTCTTTTCTTTTATTTTTTTTTCATAGGGAAAAATAGAGATGATTAATTTGGTCTATCTGATTCTTATTCTTAGGAAGAATGTCTCCACACCGTAGCAAAATAAAACAATCAGACACAAGCCAGGAATCAATTGATGATGATGATATAATCAGTGACTTGCCGGGCAATGTAATAGATTGCATTCTAGGAAAAATGCCTATACGTGATGCTATAAGAACGAGTATTCTTTCAAAGAAGTGGAGATTAAACTACTCAACCATTCCGCAATTAGTGTTTGATGACCAATTCTGCAAAGAACTTGTTGACTTCGCCAACAAGAAGTGTGCTCCTGAATTTTCTGAATATGAGTTAAAATACCATCTTGAAGAAATTATCTCCAAGTCTCTTATGCTTCATCCTGGGCGAATAGAGAAATTTAAAGTATGCATTCCTAATTTCACTACAACGAGCGTTCCTGATGTGAACAAATGGATATTGTACTTATCTCGGAAGAATATCAAGACAATAAGCTTAAAATACATGACGAGTATTGTGCATCATAAGTTACCTCCTTATTTCTTTTCTTGTCTGCACTTGACATACTTGAAGCTCCTCAATATTCATATTTCGCCTCCTCCGCCAGAGTTTAAAGGCTTCCTAAATCTCTACAAAGTACTACTTTCTCGGGTTCACTTTGGAAGCAATTGTCTTGAAAGTTTCCTCTGCAGCTGCCCTGTTCTTCGGGCGCTAGAGTTGTATTGGTGTTCTGGTATTCGTCATTTTAATATCAGTGGATCTAAACTCAAGAAGTTGCGCATAAAGGCCTATGATAAGTTCAAATCAATCTCCTTAGAAAACGCTCCTAACTTGAATGAAGTTTCTGTTATGCTGGAGAGAGTTGTAATAGGCAATCCGAATTCTGATTTGGTTAAGTTTGTGGGTAGCTTGCCTAAAGTCAAAACAATTCGTGTAAATGGCATGTGTCTGAAGGTTAGTACCTGAAATTGCTGTTACAGTTTATCTTTCTCAACTGATAATATAGGGGTTCTAAGGCCAGCCTGGTGCACTAAGTTCCCGCTATGCGCGGGGTCCAGGAAGGGCCGGACCACAAGGATCTACCTTACCCGGTATTTCTGCAAGAGGCTGTTTCCACGGCTTGAACCCGTGACCTCCTAGTCACATGGCAACAACTTTAACAGTTACGCCAAGGCTCAATATAGGGGTTCTAAGAACTTTTTTTTAATTTATTCTGATTAAAATGTTTATAAACATATTGTTCTTTCAGCTCCTAGCTAAAACACCAGTTCCCTCCTATACTATGTGTATTGGGAAAAAACTGAGTTTATATTAAAGATGATGTGGCATGACACGTGGATTAATTAAATGGTCAAAGCGCAACAATTGACTAGGAGGCACGGATGGAGACAACCACGGGAAGAAGAACTTAAATAGGCACGAGACGACGTATAGATACGAGTCTCGTACCAATTTAAATTATTTACAGCCAACGGATTAGAAGGCATTGAAGACAAAGATCTGATGACAGAAAGAAGTCCAAATTCATTATTAAATACTTGATACGTTACAAAATTGGTATTTAATAGGAATGAACGTATAACGGCTTATTTAATGTCATTTATTACTCATAATTATGTCATTAAAGCTGAGGCTTCATTCCTTTACCTAGAATTATCTATAAAAGGAAGAAGTATCATCATTTGTAAGGACACAGAATACTATTGAGAATT